CTCAAAGTCATCCCTGAGGGTTGGAATCAACTTCTTCCAAACTCCTATTAATGTTGATATTTTGACCTCCTCCAATGACTCATGAATGTTCTTAGTGACATCTAGAATGGTAAATTCTTTCCAGAAGATTTTCAATTTGCTTTGCCCAGATCGATCAGAAGAATCACTATCTATGGCAGCTGTATCCTTTTGTAATATATTTCTTAAGGTGACTTGAAAGTCAAAATTACTCCTTGGTGGGCTGCAGAATGGTTGTTGTGTTAGCAGGCATGAAAATAAGATTAATCTCCTTGTACATCTCCATCAGAGGTCTTGGATGACCAGGTGAATTGTCAATGAGCAGTAGTATTTTGAAAGGAATCTTTTTTCTGAGCTGTAGGCCTAAATAGTGGGCTTAAATTATTCAGTAAACCATGTGTGAACAGATGTGTATCATCTAGGTCTTGTTGTTCCATTTATGGAGGACAGGCATAATAGATTAAACATAATTCTTAAGGCCCTAGGATTTTTAGAATGGTAAATGAGTATTTTCTTCAACATAAAGTCACCAACTGCATTGGCCACTAACAAGAGTCAGCCTGTCCTTTGAAGCTTTGAAGCTAGGCACTGACTTTTCCTCTCTAGTTATTAAGGTCCTAGATAGCATCTTCTTCCAATATAAATCTGTTTCATCTTCATTGAAAATCTGTTGTTTAGTGTAGCCACCTTCATATTCTGGATAACTTGCTGCAGCTTCTACATCAGCATTTGCTGTTTCACCTTGTACTTTTATGTTATAGAGATGGCTTCTTTCCTTAAATCTCATGAACCAACCCCTGCTAGCTTTCAACTTTTCTTTTGCAGCTTCCTCACTTCTCTCAGCCTTAGTAGAATTGAAGAGAGTTAGAACCTTGGTCTGGATTAGGCTTTGGCTTAAGAGAATGTTGTGACTGGTTTAATCTTCTATCCAGACCACTAAAATTTCTCCATATCAACAGTAAGGCTTGTTTCAACTTTCTTAGCACTTTTAATTTTCTTTAAGAACTTTTCCTTTGCATTCACAACCTAGCCATTTGGTACAAGAGGCCTAGCTTTTGACTATTTCAGCTTTCTACATGCCATCCTCACTAAGTTTAATCATTTCTAGCTTTTGGGTTAAAGTAAGAGACATGTAACTCTTCCTTTCACTTGAACACTTTAAGCCCATTGTGGTTTATTAATTGGCCTAATTTCAATATTATTGTGTCTCAGGGAATAGGGAAGCCCAAAGAGAGGATGAGAAATGGGGGAAAGACTAGTTGATGGAGCAGTCAGAACACATAACATTTATTGATTAAGTTCACCATCTTACATGAATGTAGTTTGTGGCACTCCAAAACAATTACAATAGTAACATCAAAGATCACTGATCACAGATCACCATAACAGATATAACAAAATGAGCACATGCTGTTGGAAAAATGATGCTGATAGACTTGCTGGACGCAGACTTTCAATTTGTAAAAAATGCAATGTCTGTGTCCATCATAAAGTGATGTAAAGGACATTGGAAACTAAGAATGGGGGATGGTGGGTTGGGTGGGGGATAAAAACTTACCTATTGGATACAATGTACACTATTCTGCTGACAGGCACCCTAAAAACCCTGACTTCAGCATTATACAATTGATCCACTTAACAGAAACACTTGTTTGTACTCCCTTAATATTTTTAAATAAAAATTTTTTTTAAATGACGGAGCTCGTTGTCTGAGTTAAACACAAACAAAAAATGCAATGTCTATGAAATGCAATAAAAGGAAGCGCAATAAAAAGAGGTGTGCCTGTACCGAAATGTCAATAATAGTATTATGGCAACATGCTCCAAAGACAACTTCTTTGCTTTAGGGAAGGTGGCCTCACCAACCATCACCCTCCCAGGGATGCCAGCAGTGGAGTTTGATGACAAAGATATTATTTCTGCATTAGGAGATGACACGGTTTTACTAGTGTGGAACACAGTGCCATAAGTTGGTGAGGACCTGGAATGGATACAAGTGAGGCGTTGCCCATTTGTAATTCCAGGATGGGTTGGTAGTAAGTGGTTTGTCTGACATCATCAGGTTTGAGACTATACTAATCTGCTAGGGCTTCCATAACAAAATACCACAGACTGGGTGGCTTAAACAACAGAAATTTCTTTTCTCACAGTTCGGAGGCTGGAAGTCCAAGATCAAGATGCTGGTGGGAGTTGGTTTCTCCTGAGGTCTCTCTCCTTGGCTTGCAGGTGGCCACCTTCTCACTGTGTTCCCACGTAGCCTTATGCTCTGTGTAGACATGCTCTTGGTGTCTCTTCCCTTTTTTATAAGGACACCAGTCCTATTGATCAGGGCCCCACCTTTGTGACCTCATTTAACCTTAATTACCTCTTTAAAGGTTGTATCTTCAAACACATTCACATTAGAGATTAGGGCTTCAGCCTACAAAGTTTGAGGAACATAATTCAGTTCATAGCAAAGTCGTGGAGTATAGAACACATTTGTAAGTACTAGTGACCATGCAAAATTGATGTGCTGTATGTGGTTCTATAAGAAGAGAATAATCAGTCATTACCATAATAGTGTAATATGGGATCTTATAGTTCTTTTGGACTCTTGTACCTCTGAAGGGATTCTTTTATCAATAGACCCTTGTGGAAAATTTTTTGGATGTCAGTTTGATGAGCTCTGCGTTGTCAGAAGTCCACACAATGACACAAGCCTGATGTGGGACTTCCTAAATGACTCTGTTGACTAAACTGAATCTCTCCTACTCTCCTTCCCAACAGCCACCTAGAGCTCCGGATAAATTAGCATTCATGGGCCTCATATTTGCATAAGACTATTTAAAGTTGTGGTATTTCAGTGTACCAGAGCCAGGATGAGGAATAATAGGAAGAAACCATCACAGAGATTCCTGGGACTGGGTTTTGGATGGCATAAAAGGAGCACAGTGGACCTGCAAGTGACCCAGGATAGTTGGTCTTCTCAGGACAGACGGCTGCTTAAGTGCTCCTATCTAAAAATGTGTTTTATCCTCCTTTTCTCTCCACCACTTCTTCCTTTTGTTTGGTTCTAGACAAAGATGGCCTATAAATGTGTTTAGTTTTGGGGAAAACAAAAAAGAAAGACAGAAAAAAACTGGGTTTAAGTCCTGATTCTATCACTTTGTAGTTTACTTGACAGGTTATTAAATTTCTGTGGACATCAAATTCCTCATTTATAAAATAGAAATAAGGATACATGCCCTCATGGGGCATAAAGATTCAGTAAGATAACACCTAAGCCACTAAACATGGTACCTAAAACATGGCAGGCACTCAGTATATTTTAATTAGCTTTCCTCTTCTATGATAGTGCCAGATAGAATAAAAGAGAAGATATTTGAAGAAGGAAGAACAAAGAGAAAAGTTAAAAGTTCCACTTTTATCTCAGTGATTTAGTGTCAATATACTAAAGTTATAAAAATTTGTAAAGCTTAAACAACATCATGCATAGCATGTTGTAAATGAGGTACTGTGCCAAGCAGTACAATAGACATTGCATTTGAACCATTTGAATTAAATTATCGCTACTGCCCTTGTATTGTATAGTGACAGCAGTTAGGTTTAAACTTATCCATTAAAGTTGCCTGGTTGAGGAGTTAATAAATATTGTTAAATGAATTAAAAGTTTCCAGAAGCAGTTATGTGAACTGTAATGGAATCCTCTGCTTAAAATCCTTCTGTGTCTTCCCATTGGCCGCATTATTAAGTCTGAACTCCTTCGACATGCATGATACGACCCCTACTTATTCCTGTAGCCTCAGCTTCCTCTACCCCTTTACCTAGCTCTCACCTCTAATGCCCCAGACACCCACCATGTTGAACTATTTGGGGTTTCTCTTCCCTGGACTCTCACACATGCTGTACAGTCTGACTGAGACATACTTTCCCTCTCTTCACCTGTCTAATTCCTGAATTGCCCTGTAGTTCTCCTGTAAAATCTAAATGAGGTACCTGTTCTAGAAATTATCCTATTTACCGTGGTATATTTAGCCCCTAGCACAGTTGTTAAATAAATGAATCAGTATTCATCCTAAATGCAGAAGATTTTAATGACAAATTTCCATTACATATGTAGTTGTATAACCAATACATTTTCAAACATCATTTAAGTAAAAAGAAAAACAGTAGAATAAATATTATCTTTTTATACATGTTATGTCCTACTTTATACAGTGCATCAGATCTAAAATGGATTGCGGTCTCCCTGCTTTTAACTGCTATAAGGGATTTTTAAGTGCCTGTGCAGCCACTGTCATTATCATTTTTACTTGGGTTTTTCAAAAGAAAAAGAAATCAAATATAATGATCATCGTAACAACACAAAAAGAGGATTCTCATTGAAAGGCTTTTCCTTTTAATTTGTATCTAGTGAAAATAAACTTATATGGGTATTTTTTAAAGGTAGTGAGAAGATTAAAGTTGTTAATATAAAGCATCAAATAATATATGTGTATATAGAGAAATTTATCTCAAAAAGAGACATTAGCAATAAACCAGCAATCACAATAACGTTATGCAATCAGGTTGTTCCATTGAGCTTTTCCTTTTTGTAAAACTGTTGACCTTCTGAAGAATTTTTTTTTCAGATGCATCTGCTTAGCACAGAGAATGGAATATAAAGGTAGTATAAAACAATTCTGAGAAAGTAAATGGTGTGTGAGCTTTTTTTTTGATTTCCTTCACAATAATTTACTTTAAAAAATTAACATCTGCTATTTTGAAGCTAATGTTAGTGTATTGAATGTTCTTAACCATTTCTCAATCCCACAGTCTTTTATCTTGCTTCTCCTGCTGTGTTCCCACCGCCCCTGATCCCATTAGCAAACCTTGAAACAGCCTCAGACTTACCAAAGTACTGCTTTGGTTTCAGCTGCTCTTCTGCAAGAGGAAGTGAATGTTGGGGGTTCTCTCTGTGGCACAGTTGTGATAAAGCTGTGGTGGTCTTATCTCTCTCTTAGGTAGTGGCTCTTTACGACTACATAGCAAATCGATCAGATGAACTAACCATCCATCGCGGAGACATTATCCGAGTGTTTTTCAAAGATAATGAAGACTGGTGGTATGGCAGCGTAGGAAAGGGACAGGAAGGTTATTTTCCAGCTAATCATGTGGCTAGTGAAAGTAAGTTTTATGCTCCCTTCCTGGTTTACTAATATGGTATAACTGATAGTCCAAGATTTTATTGTTTTCTACCCTTTAATTTACTGTTTTTGTAACCTTTCGTATGTTTACCAATGAATGTTGCTTTTCATGCTCATGATGCGAAAAATAAAAAGAGGAGGCACTACCATGCTAGAAAGCTACTACATTCTGAGACTGGAACATTTACTTCATGGACTTCTTATTTTAGGGGATGTGCCCCTCTAACTACCAGCTTTCTTGTCCTGCTGCTTTGACCCTGCCATCTGCATATGCATGGTTCTGTCAGCTCTTCTCTTGCCACAGTGACTCCTCAGTTGGCTGGTATCTTAAGAACCTCTAGTTCCCTAACTCCCAGTCTTTTACTTTGGATACCTTAGTCCTGCTGATTACCTGCTAAAATAAAACTACAAGGGATTGTTTCATTCTCAACTAAATTAAGCCCTCATTTGTGAAAGAAAAAAAAAATGAACTAGAGAATAAATTCTAAATGTGAGTTTCTGACAGCTATAGATTCACTGCTAGGCCTTGAGGTGAAAATAGAACATAGCTTGAAAATAAAGAAAATAAATTAAAACCCATCATTAAAGGGGACTAGTGCAGAAGTGCTTCTGCAGAAGAATGCATGTTATCCACAATTAACTTGATAACATGTTAGGAAAAGCACAACACTCAGGGGTCAACCCAAAAAATCAACTTCTAATCCTAGCTCAGCAGTTTATACTGATAGGCCTCAGTTTCCTCTTAAAAATGGAGAAGTTGAGCTGTATCATCTCTGTAAGCTTTCTTCCAGAAACATTAAAATTATATGGTTCTGATTCAAAATGTAGTATAGGCAGCCTTGAAATTGAGAACAATCTATGTTTTGAATATTTATTAAGTCTTTTATTTCTGCAAAGAAGTAATTGTGATAAATAATAATTGGTTTTTAGACTAGTCCATGAAACCCTATTTAATCCAAAACCATGACTAAACAAAAGTACTATTGATTCAAATCTAAGTTCTGAATTTTGAGAGCAAGAGATGAAGAAAAGGAGGAAGAAGAATTTCTTCCACGATTGCCGGGTTCTGGGCTAGGCCTAGATAAAATTTATCTCTGGTACCCTCCCACAACCCTGTCTGCACTCTGTGCTTCCCAGTGCTCCCCTCCCCAGTCTCTCAAGTGCCCGAAGTCTCATTGCAGCTCTCCTTCTCTGCTCATCTGCCGCCTTCAGCAAACTCCTCCCCTCAAAAGTGCTCAGTGTCTCAAAAATTACCCACTTCTCTCTCCCATAACAAAATTGATAATTTCTTCTGTGCTGCTGTTTTAATTATTTTCTTCTAAGTAGTAAATAAATGATAACTCTTTAACTCTATTAGAGGTATATTTTTATAGAGGAGGCATAATGGAAAAAACGTAAGGCAATGTGAAAGGAAGAAATTTTAGGACAGGTTAATTCCCAAATAGGCATAAGACAGCATTTAAGTCCTATAAAGCTCAGCACTTCTAACTTCCAGATTGTCTAAAATATCCAGGTTTCTTCCCTCTCCTTCCAGTGATGGCTCTCCTACAGGATCAACAGCTAAGGTTAAGAAGGGGTAGCTTCTATTTTTAAATCAGGAGCTACCTACACATAGTCACTCTAGAATATGTCTGTAATTTTAACTAGGTATTACAATCTATTGTTCCTTTCAGGTAAAAGAGGAAACATTCAAAAATTATTCCACTTGGCAACATGAAAAGATTGTGTATCTCCAGGCAGGGTGGTATTAAGTGCCCTAACCTTAGAATCTACTTAGTTTGCAGAAATAACCTCTTAGGCTTGCAAATCTTGAGAGGCTACACATACTTATTCTACAATGAGTTAAAAGCTAATAACATTTGGTTTTCTTCCATAATAGCCAAAGTCAGAACTCTGAAGCATATTGCAGTAATGGTTGATGGCTATATACAAAATTCCTTGTCTCAGTAGTGACCATTCTTCAACTGGCATAATTCCTTATTGTGGCTTAGAATAATTGATGTTTTCTTTTGGCATCAGTCACTGCTGCTTGAAAAGCTTTGTTAAGGCCAGAACAAACAGGAAAAAATCTCAGAAAAACTGAGAATGTGATTGAATTCTCACACTTCGTCAGGGGTTATTTTCCTTTCCCTTTTATCCTTTTTACCTGAATTTAACAAAAACTCAACTGCCCAGTTTAACATTAGAGAAAAAATGACTGTCAGCAGCATATTCCACTCCAAAAATGGTAGGACAATCAAATTGTCCTTTGATTTGTATCTAAAGCCAAATATGCAGAGCAAATATCTAGGGGGGTATATATAGGAGCAGAATCTCTACCCACTGTTCAATTGAGAGCCACATCCTTTAAGAGAACAGCACAATAAAAGAAGTTGGTACCCCATTATTATAAAGAACTTACTCTCTTTGTTTCTTAAACCACTGGAAAGATAAACATGATCAGCTTCCCCTAATCACATCTAAAGCCTTTTTCAATAAGAGATAAAGAAACCCAATAATAAAATCAACCCATACATAAAGCCAATTAATATGTCTCAAAATCTTAGTTGTATAGTTTTGATCAAATATATTTTAGCAATTTCTCTGAATTCAGAGTTGCTCTTAACCAAAACAGATTTACTTTTTAATCCTTTAAAATTCCCACATAGCTCTTTAAATTCAATACCCTGCTTAGATGCAATAGATTACAGAGATATCTAATCTTAGTTATTATAAGAATCTTAGATTCAACACTGTATAGATTCAGTATCGTGTATAGTCCTAATTCTGTGCTTACTCATTTCATACCATCTTCCCAAATTATCCTTTCTTCACACCTCTGCCTGGCAAAATCCTACCTGTTTTTCAGAGTCTGAGACACCTACCACTTCTTACATTAAGCATTTTCCATCCCCATATCAGAGTTTGTCTTTGTAATTATCTCTGTTTCAAATAATGTCACATTCTATTTTTTATTAGTTATTTGTGAACATGTCTGTCTCTGACCAGACTCTAAGCTCCTTGTGAACAAACACTGTCTTGATCATCTTCATATATCCTCCAGCAGTACCTAACAGATAACCTTGCGTATAGGAGGTTCCTGGTAAATGTGTATTGAAATAAAATGAAATAAGCATCTGCATGACCACATAGTAAGTGAAAACGATACCTTCTACATTTCTGAAATCCCGCTGATTAAAATTTTCCAACCATAGTTATGCTCTTTTGATAACTAATGTGTAAAACTACAAATTGCCATAAATAAGTTCTAGGTAGCTTGTTTTTACCGAGGAATTGGATATCAATTTAATTTTTTTATACATATACTTGTTTACTTCTTTTTTCCTTGCAGAAGTCACAGTCTGCAATTAAATTTCTTTAATTTCATATCTGCCCCTCTCCTTCATCGTTTTTTGCCTGCCGTGGAACAGTGCTTCTCAATTTGATTATATGAATTCCTTTTTCAATTTCAGCACTCTATCAAGAACTGCCTCCAGAGATAAAGGAGCGATCTCCTCCTTTAAGCCCCAAGGAAAAACCTAAAATGGAAAAACCTCCTTCAGCTCCTCAAAAGGTAAATGTTTTCAAGAATATGTTTTGCATATGAACTTTGATTTTCACTCTCTCTGGATAAAATACCTATTTTTCGTGCTTATAATCCTTCATTGTTTACATTATTTCCTTTGATCTTGGCACCAACATTGTGTAATGTATAAGGCAAATGTTATCATAGCCATTTTCCAGATAAGGAAACTGAGGAGGCTCAGAGAGGTTAAAGTAGACCCCCAAGTTACAGCGTAAGTGATGAGACAAGGACCCAAGGTAGAACTTGTGACTTTAAGTGTGATGCTATTTCCACTCTGCACTTGTTTCTTTAACTGTGATGCTGACACTGTCATGAGCTCCACTTGGGAGACACATTTATACTGGAGATCACTGGAGTCCACAAACTAAAGATGTTATATCTTTCTGGAGCATTCCTTTCACTTGCTAGTAATTTAAAATGTTTTCCAGTTAAAATGAATGTGGATATATTATCAACCTGAGAAATGTCATGTATTTAGTCTGTGCCATCAGATCTCTCAGGGATATTAGTCAGTATTCCTCTGATGTTAGTAATACTGTGGTAGGAAAGTTTATTAAACATTGTACCATCATATATATTGCTTATTAAACTTGTTTCATGATTTGACATTAGCTCTTGCCTTAGACTGAATAACTTCACTGCTTCTTGACATCATGAAGTGACATAGATATATTTTTTACAAATATATGTCATGTACATATCATTACAATGTCATGGTAAAGTTTTTTGGTGAACCTGACATGTATCATTCAGTCATTCAGCATGTATTTATTGAGTGCTTACTTCCACGTTCACACTCTATTAGTCCCCTCTGAAACAGGAGTGAGTAGGCAAGGCACTTGCCCCTAAGGGGTTTTACAGGCTGGTGGTGAGACACCTGAAAGCAGGCAATTCTAATAGCCTCTGGTGGGAACTACGATGAAGATACACGCACAATGCGTTGTGAACACATAGAAGAAACCCTCTTAAATCTGCCCTGGGGAAGTCTAGGAAGAGTTCTCAGAGGAGGGAATGCTTGACCTAAGGTATCTAGGATGAAAAAGCTTGTTAGGTAGATGAAGTTAGAAAAAACATTCCAGCAGAGGAATAATGTGAACAGATTCGCATGTTAAAAACATTATTTTAGTGGCCTCATAGTGGTTAGATTAGAGATAGCTAAGACCTAGGGCAAGCAAATTAGTTAGGAATCTATGGAAATAAAATATATTTAAAAAACCCTGAACTAGTGGGGTCGGAGGGGAGGGGACATAAGCTATAATTAACAGAATTTTATGATTAATTGGATGCGATTAGTGAAATTGGAATCTAGGATTTTGCTAAGAGCCCTAGCTTATACAACTAAATAGACAGCAGTACCACAGAAACAATAAAATTAATAAGGAAGATTTGGGGAGGGACAAGGAAAGGTGGGGGGAATAGGAGATGATAAGTGCAGTTTTAGATATCTCAAATTTGTCAGTAGTGTCTGGAGTGCTCCCAGGTAGAAATATTAACTATGGAGCCAGAAATGTAGGACCGGAATTTGAGAGAAGGTAGAGCTTCAAAATCAAATGAGGAATTTGAGAGGAGGTAGAGCTTCAAAATCAAATGAGGAAGTAGTGTATTTGGTGTCTTATATCAGTAAATGGAAGCTTGTAATGAAGGCTATAGTCCAGGAAGAGTGTTATAGAGCTCTAAGATAAGAAGGTCAAGTATTGAAGGATAGTCAAAGGAAGAGGAGAAGATCAAAAAAGAATAAAGAAAAAGGAAAACAAAAAAAAAGAAGTATCCTGGGAAGCTAGGAGAGAAGAGAGGTTCAAGGAGAGTATAGTGGGAAACGGCCAAGCAGTTAGTTTGTCTAAGCATTTGGTAATCAAGAGGATCCTCGTATTTTGCACCAGTATCAGTAGAGTGACAAGGATTGAAGAGAAGATTAAAGGTTGAGTAGGGTCTCAGCAAGTGAACTCATGGAAGTCATTCTCAAAGCTTCACTTTGAAGAATAAAAAAAATCGATTGAGGCCGGGTACGGTTGCTTACGCCTGTAATCCTAGCACTCTGGGAAGCCAAGGCGGGAGGATTGCTTGAGCTCAGGAGTTCAAGACCAGCCTGAGCAAGAGCAAGACCCCATCTCTACTAAAAATAGAAAAATTTGCCAGGCGTGGTGTCACGCACCTGTAATCCTGGCTCCTCCAGAACCTGAGGCAAGAGGATGACTTAAGCCCAAGAGTTTGAGGTTGCAGTGATCTACAGTGACACCACTGCACTCTACCCAGGGCCATGGAGCAAGATTCTGTCTCAAAATAAAAAAAAAATATATTGAGCAGTGGCAGGAGGGAGACCTGGTGTCCAGGAATGATTTTTTAAATATTGGAGAGACACATAAAATTATATACTAAAGAGACAACGCTAGTGGACCAGTTCAGGCTGAAGATAGATAAAGAACACCAAGGAGGCTGGGCACGGTGGCTCACGTATGTAATCCTAGCACTCTGGGAGGCTGAGGCGGGAGGATCGCTTGAGGTCAGGAGTTTGAGACCAGCCTAAGCAAGAGCAAGACCCCATCTCTACTAAAAATAGAAAAAAAATTAGCCAGTCAACTAAAAATAGAAACAAAAAATTAGCCAGGCGTGGTGGCTCACACTTATAGTCCCAGCTGCTCAGGAAGCTGAGGCAGGAGGATCACTTGAGCCCAGGAGTTTCAGGTTGCTGTGATCTAGGCTAACGCCATGGCATTCACTCTAGCCTGGGCAACAAAGCGAGACTCTGTCTCAGAAAAAAAAAAAAAAAGAACATGAAAGACACAGTGGAACTTGGAGGAAGCAGGAGGTTTTTTTTTTTTTTTACTGGAAAGACAGGTTGGTAGATATTTGGCAATGTCTGGAGACATTTTTTGTTGTCTCAACTACAAGGAGGGGGATGCTACCGGCATTTAGTGGGTAGAGGTCATGAATGTTGCTAAACATCCTAAAATGCAGAGAACAGCCTCCTCAACAATGAATTATCTGGTCAAAAATGTCAACAGTACCAAGATTAGAACAATAGCCCTCTAAGGCAGGCAAGTATGGATAGTGATACAGATAAGTTGATAGAGTAGAAGTCTAGAAATTAAGGATATTTTTATGTTCTCCAAAACAGAAAGTAAGGTTCACTGCAAATGTGATAGGCAAAGGAATGAGGTAGGAGTTCAAGAAGAGCAGTGACTATTTGAATACCTGTAAGGGAAGTAGGACCAGGAGCTCATTTGGGACATATAAAAAGATTCCTCAGTAATTCTGGGAGCTACTGTTTGGATACCACTAAAATGTAGGTGACATAAATCTGTGTAGTTGGATTTTTTCTTTAGTAGTCTCTTCAGCATCTAGGGCATAACAGTGGAGAAGGCAGATTTGGTTTAATATATAATTGTAGGTGCGATAGGAGAACAAGAAGGTAAGAGACTTGATAATATTAGTAAGAGAGTCACTGGAGTGATACACCATGGAGGATCAGCCAGATTGGAAAGGACAGAGAATCAGTAGAATATTGGCAGACTTAGAAAGCAAGATTCTCTGCAAGGTTGCAGTAAGTAAGCTACTCATGCCCAAGTGGAGGCATAGTGTCATATGGTAAAGGAGTCAGCAAGGTGGAACTACAGCATGTAAGGCCAGAAAGTCTTTTGCTTATTCAATATTTCAGATGTCAAGCAATTCCAGGTTATGATAAATTCATAGAATATATATAAGAACTGAAGTGAAATTGAAGGACATGTTACTAGAATTGAGCTGGTCAAGGAACTAGAACCCAGAGTGTTGAACAGGTTGTTATCTTGAATATTAAAATTCCAGGATGATAGCAAGAGTTGGGATGAGAAGAAACTGATGTATGAAGAGCTGACATCCTTAATTCTTATGTTAGAGCAGAGGTCTCAACCTTGGCTTTGCACTGAAATCACCTAAGGCATTAAAAAACTAGATAGTGATGACAATCCCCACCCCTACAAATTCATTTAATTGGTCTGGAATACGACCTGGGCATGGACAGCCAACATTGAGAACTTTGTGTTAGAGTGACCACAGGTCCAATGGTAACAGCTGCAAAGATAAGTGGAGGGCATTACAGCCAAGTGTCAAAGCACCCAAGAAGTGCTTTGGAAGTACAGTCGCCCAAAATCAGCAGCAGGGAGCTAAGAGGAGGCCAGTGTTAACTCCTGGTACTCATGGTTCACTATTGGGTATGTGAGAATGAACAGCCTATGCTGCAAGGAACTGAAAGAAAAATGGTTTCCTTTCAAGTTTCAAATACAGCAAGAATAAATGGTGATGGTTGCCTACAACAGTATGGGGACTACACAGGATACAGTCAAGAGGATTGGCAAGTGATTCGACTATGGGAAAATGTTACATGAGCAATATTACCCATTGTTTGTAATTCAGCATCAGATTTAAGATTTAGGGTCATGCTTATCTTACTTGGGTCTGCTATAACAAATATACTGTAGACTGGTGGCTTAAACAACAAACATTTATTTCTCAGAGTTCTGGAGGATAGGAATTCCAAGATCAAGGTGCTGGCAGATCCAGTGTCTGGCAAGGGTCTACTTCCTGGTTTGCAGCTCCATTGTATCCTCACAAGGCAGAGAGCAGAGAGCTCTCTTGTGTTTCTTCTTATGAAAGCACTAATCCCATTCATGAGGGCTCCACCCTCATGACCTAACTACCTCCCTAATACCTCCTGATACCACCATCACATTGAGAGTTAGGATTTCAATGTATGAATTTGGCCTGGGGGGTGGGGAGGGGGGGAACACAAGCGTGCAATCCATAACAATGCTAACCTAAATTTACAACCTAAAGACATTTTAATGCAATGAAAGCATTTATAACATTGGCATAGGGAGTCATCGTGACAGCTAACGATATTCTTACTCTATATCCAAAACTGTGAGATGCTATGAAAGATACATCCTTTACTTTTACTGACTTACTGGTATCCCTAACTCTGCATCATGCTGACCTTTGAAATTGAGGTT